CACACACACACACACACACACACACACACACACACACACACACACACGAGTATACACACTTTCCACATGTCAACAGTCACCACATCCACTGGCTTCGCTAAGACGGAAACTATTCTGTGCTTTGTTCAATAGCTCACTCACACATTCCTTCATGCCTCAGATGAGCACACACACACACACACACACACACACACACACACACACACTTACATCATTCTGTAGCTTCCCAGTGACGTTCCTTATGAATATAAATCACATGTAGGTCGAGGGTTTGTGTGTTTTAGTGTCAAAATGCTATTTTCCCTTCTAAACACAGTTTTCCCCCCGTGGCCCGCTGTTAGTTTCTAAATATACATAAATCCATAGTCAGCGTGCAACCTACAGTGACTTAGCTAGCGCTATCGTTGTCATTAGCCACATCGATTAGCTCACTTTGCTAACTTACGTCAATGCTTTGTTTTGCCGACGACTGAATGTTCGTTTCTGTTTGAGACAAAAAAAAAAAAATGGAGTAGATGGAGTCGACCTTTAACGACATTTTTACATTATGATAAAGAAATTTTAAAAAGGAGCGGTGGTTTAAAAAAAGTTTGTTATCTTCCACAGTAAAAATCTGCAACTGAAGAGATACTCTTCTCTATGTGGAGGGGAGGAGGACAGAACCAAACACCACGTCATTCCTAATCACTCGCACTGTGCATTCTGTCACACAGGACAAGCAAAAGGACAGAGATGTGATTCAGATTGATTCCTCATCTCCTCACTCCTTCCTTCCCTGCCTTAGTGCTCTCAGGATCTGGACCCCAGCTCAACATAACTCTGCCCCATAAAGGTGAAGGTAAACGTTAGAGGAGCTGCAGAAACGTCTTTAAAGACCGTCTGCCATTACGGAGCCGTTTGTCTTATTAACCGTCCTCTCTGTCGTCTTACGTTCTCTTTCTCCCGCCTTTGTCCAACTTTCTCCCCACTCTAACTTTGACTGGTGCCCGACGATTTACGCCTCCATCGATTATTGGAACTGGTCCTGTGGGGTGTGAACAGCTGCCTGGATCAGGCCTCTAATAATAACTGCTACTCTGAAGCAAAAGCTCTGATAGCTGCTGAATATACGCATATGTGTAAGTGCAAATGGGAGAACCTACAAAAAAAAGTCAAACAGACGGCGTCTTTTTCTTTCCCAATATTCCTTACGTGGGACATGCTAATGTATTCGGGTAAGGTCGTTGGCATCGGGCCAGGCGGCCGGGGCGTTAAAGGGATCGTAAAAAAAAAATTTGTGCCCGACGAATGAGCGATGGGATTCCGAGGCTCTGCCATGTGGCGGGAGTGAGTGATGGCGGAGGGAGGTCGGGTCCCACAGAGGACCGACTTACAGCAGCAGGCGCCTGCAGAGAGCAGCTGCCGGGACAGAAATACAGTAGCAGAAACAGTGGGGTGAAAACGGGGAGACCTGTCGCCTTCCTCATGGCTTCTGAAAGCAGAACACACTGCGCAGCGAAGGAGGGCAGAGAGGAAATAAGGGGAGTGGAGGAAAGAGCCAGAGGCTGAGCAGGACTCTACTTCTCTGACTAACAAATACTACAGTATGCATTCCAGTCACACTCCATAGGAACCACAGCAGCCATTCAAACATGTGACAACAGGGACAGCTATGTTTACACACTGCTACAGAGGAATAGTACAAAAATGCATTCGTTTTGACTAATTATTATAATGAATTATTGGGATGTCCTTAGAAGTAAATGTACTGACAAACATACTAGACTGCAGGCAGTAGTGGTGTTCACGATGTGTAATTGCAGATATTGATCAGCGCCAAAAAAAATGAACGGACCCCACTCAATCACCGTTAGACGCATCGACAGCTGAACGCTCGGACCACATTCTGAGGCGTTCCGGGCCGCAATCGAAGAACCGCCTAGTCGACCGGCGTCCTCTGCGTTTCAGAGGAAGTACACGCTCCACGGCGTCTGAAAATGTTTCACGAGTTCGGTGTTTATGCTCTGGTGCTCTGTACAGATCTGACTCTTGCTCCCCCGCTCTCTGAGGCCCCGGTGTCGGGCACATGGATGTCCTCAGGGACCGCCAGTAGACGATGGATATTTTTAAGGATATAAAAAGGTACTTGAACTCAAATGTTGGATGTTACCACTGCTTCTTCCCGCCAGTTAAACAACAAAAACCTTTCTGATCTTTGCAAACGGTAATGATGCACGTGTCTATTTGAATGTGGAGCAAGGAAGTGAGTGGACGTAGTCATGGTGATGTCGCTCATATGTTTGTTGACTGCCATTTTGAAGACTTGAGTTAGGCAATTTCGCCGTCGCCATCTTGAAATATGGCCGACGCCATGTTGTTGTTGTTGTTTTTTTACCATATTTGGAATGCGGAGGAGTGACGTAGAGACGCCGTATACGTCTCTGGTAGCAGCAGCAACCTGTCAATCACAGTAGCCCCGCCCTAAAGCATACTCTGCTTTATGGTCTATTTGACTCTAAATGGACCATAATTTACTAAATGAACATCATGCTGTATTGAAGAAGACTTGAAACTAGAAATTGAGACCATAAACTCATGTTTACAATGTTTACTGAGGTAATAAATCAAGAGAGAAGTAGAGTCATTTTCTCATAGACTTCTATAAAATCAAGGATTCACAGTGCCTCACTTTCTCATTAAAAAACGTATTAAAGCACCATGAAAGCCTGGGACTCATCCTTCTCTTACTGATGGACGCACTGAAGTGCTGTTAAACGTGATGCGACTGCTGAGTTTAGGAGAAAGAGTGAATACACTATCTACGAATCTTGGAACTGAACATGATTAGAACCAGCAAAGAGATTTGTGATGAAAATAAAAAAAGATTTTAGCATCAGAAGTGTGATTTTCTTTATTAAATAAAAAACGTGGTGAGGAAAAAGAAGAGAACCCATGACTGCATCATCAGTTAGTGAGGCACATTTTGCTTCATATGGTCATTCTTCATATTGTCTTTTAAATGTCTCTCTGATACTCCGCCGTGTCTCGTCCTCACACACACAAACATACCACACACTCCTCGCGGCACCATTAGCATAATGAGGCGCATCACTATCAGGATAATTAGTGGGGGGGGGGAGAAGAGAAGATGATACAATAAGGAGGAGAGGAGAGGAAACAGGAGAGGAGAAGGTTAGATAAGAGAGGAGAGGAGAAGAGAAAAAATGAAAGGAAACAGAAAGGAGAGGAAAGAGGAGAAGAGAAAAGTAGAGGAAACTGAAGAGGAGAGGAGAGGAGAGGGTGTGGGGTAGGGCAGGTCATACTCAGATCACATGAACACAAGGATGCTCCACATTAATTCTCTGCCTCTTCTTAGTGTGATTATAAATGAAGTCCGGCCTCGATCATGGCAGCTGAAGATTAGTCTTCACTTCGGAGTCTAAATCAGAGCGCTAACCCTGCTTCATTTTCATCAACTGGCAGTACACTTTGTATCTAATGGTACTTCATCGTTGAGGTGGAACACTGCAGTGGGGCATCATTGTACCGATTGGTTAAGGTTCATACCACAAGCCATCAACATCGCCTCCTGCCTTACTATCAACCAGGAAACTGTGCATGTCCTGGATCTCTCTGCCTCTGTACCCTCTTAGAAATGAAGGTGCTCACTAGAACCACATCAGGTTCTTTGGCTTGTCCCCGTGGTAGAACCCTTTTTGGTTCCTGGTAGGACCTTGACCAGTTACAAAAACTGACAACAAGTTTATTCCTGAACCATCTGTGAAACTGGAGGTTCTATGGAGAACCTTCCCACCTTCTAAGGGTGCTAACTAGAACCCACTCTGGGGGTTTTGACCGAGAACTCCTTCCGACTACAAGGGTTTCATCTAGAACCGAAGCAGGGGATTTTACTGAGAACCCTGTACCATCTAAGTGTTTCATCTAGAACCCACCCCGGAAGTTTGACGGAGAACTCTTTTCTATTCCATGTGTTTCATCAAGAACCTGCTCAGGTGTTTGCAAAGTGTTTTTAGATGAAAAATGTTCTTCATAAAACCCTTGGTTTTACAAGGAACTCTTGAAAAACCCTTCCTTTAAGAAAGGGGAAGAACCCCTCAGGAAGAACCCCTTTTGGAACCCTTGCGTCCAACCCGAACAAAGCCGCCCTACCTGTGTCCTGCGAGTTGAGCACCTCCAGGGCGTGCATCATGGCACTGGCAAACACGTTGGCGTCCTCCTTGCTGCCGAAGTTGAGGCCGTAGACCTGCCGGGCGTCACGCCACTGGTGGAAGGTCTGCGTGGCCTGGTTGTACTTCAGCCCCTTGGGAATGGCACAGTTTATCACCACCTGGAGGTGTCCACCATGAGCGAGTTGGGGAAAGGGAAAAGAGGAAACATCCTTTAGATTGATAACGAGTGATGTGATAACTTTAAAATGTAAAGCATTTTATAAGTAAACTGTATCTAAGGAGCCACAAAGAACGACATGCTGTCGAGTCCTGTACTCATGTGTTTCTGAAGTCTGGAGAGCTTAAACTGACAGGAAATAGCCTTGTGGAAATGTGACAGCGTGTTTCAAGGCTGACTTGAGATCTGTGACTCAGTTGCACACACGTAAAAACAGTCAAAACATGGCGGTCACGCTCCATCCACCCTCCATCTCTCAGCCATGACGCTACCTCTGTCCGCCATGCTGCCGAGCTCAGAGGCTGAGGAAAAAGATTCACAACAAACTGATATTGTTCCTCTAAAAAGCTCGTGAAACACAACACTGGGACTCCGCGGCCATTACGTGGCAAAAGGTCCCGTTTGCCTGAACATGAAGTCACTTTATGATGCCCTCGCTCTGTGTTTAAGGGCCCTCTGAAGCTAGCATCAGGGGGGGTTTCAGCGTCCTGGGCACGTTGCCAAGCAGATAACGCCTCAAGCTAACCCTCTCTGAGTTATTGAGACGGAGACGTGGGTCTCCGAACATCAACAGACTCTCCTCTACATCTTCTGCATCTTACACACACACGCACACACACACACACACACACACACACACACAATGTGAAAAGCATTTTGAACGGAAGAATCTTAATCTGCATCATAATCGGTGCATTTTTTTGGGCGCCGTGAAGCGCGGGGATGATGGAAAAACGCTTCTCATCTGATAAAGCTGAAAGATAGTGTAATGTGGTTTAATCCCATAATCGCTGAGTCATCTCATGTCCAAACTAATGAGAGACTGAATCTGACACGTTTCCCCTACAGGGAACCCCCATGGTCCAGCACTTATCATACGGGGCCCCGTTTACAAACAGAGATTCAATTATACCGAGACCCGCCCTCACAAAGTCATATTTTCTCCCAAGCATCATATTGCTTTGGCCAATAAACAGCTCTTCCAGCACTAAAACCTGTAACCAATCTGATAGTGGAATAAGGCCGAGCGTCAGTACCGGCAAAATTTATTTTAACACCGGCACGAAATAATCTAGTGTCAATTTCCGTGGTTATTACAACGCCTCTGTGGCAGGCGGGAAGGGATTCACATCAGCGTTCTGGGTTTGTTGAAGGACTGAGCGTTAAAACAAGCAGCCGGTGAACGTGAGAAGGAAGTGAGATGTTGTAACTCTAGATGCTTATTGTAGGTGGCTGCGAATGAAAACAACCAGATCTCATGATGGCGGCGCCGCGCAAACTGAAAATCAGCCTGAAGCTCAGAGTGTGGACCGCTAACACATTCCTTTATGTAAATGTCCAAAGGCAATCTTTTGATGAGGCCACACTCCGACCAGAGTTTGTCCTTTTTGTTAGTTGTGCGTCATGACTTCAGGACAACATTCCAGTAGACAGAGTAGTGAGACGTATAGATTATCATATCTCCCTATTTTCTGATGCAATTTCATCCCACTCCATCCATATTTATTTCTAGTGTAAATAGCAACAACAGTTATTTCATACCCAGAAATACCGTTTTCACCACAGACTGTATATAACAAGTGGACGTAGTCATCGTGACGTCACACATTGGTTTGTTGACTGACATTTTAAAGCCTTGAGTCTAGAAGTGACCATATTTGGACTGCGGGCAAGTGACATAGAGACGCTGTATATGTCTCTGGTAGTGGCAGCAACCTGTCAATCACACGGTAACCCCAGCCTAAAGCATCCCCTGCGTTATGGTCTGTTTGACTCTAAATGGACCATAATGTACTAAATGAACATCATGCTGTATTGAAGAAGACTTGAAACTAGAGATTGAGACCATAAACTCATGTTTAAAATGTTTACTGAGGTAATAAATCAAGAGAGAAGTAGAGTCATTTTCTCATAGACAACATACAACCTGAGGAGTCGCCCCCTGATGGTCAGTAGAGAGAATGCAGGTTTAGGGCACTTCCGCATTGGCTTCACTTTTCAGACCCGGAGGTTACCGCCTGGTTCTCACTCATAAAATAATTCCACTCAGTGAAACTCAACTCTTCCTGCACAGATGTTGCAGAAATAAAAGTTTTCCGGCAGCACAATGAGCAGTGTCACCCTTTCTTGGTTCACCGCTACTGTGAAACATCAAACACGGAAGGGTCACCATCATCATCACGTCGTGTGACGGCAGAATAAAGAAGACCAATGCATCTCCTCCGTCAAGGTCACCATACAACACATTACATTCATCTTCTCTTGGTGAAGTTCCAAACGATCTTGTTGTTATAGATGACCCGATGTTGCCTCACTGATTGCAGAAGAGTGCAGAACTGCTGAAGGCATCAGGACTTGTCCTCCTCCCTGCCTCCCTCCCTCCAGCCACATAGCAAAACTCAGACAACAGAGAGGATTGTGGGATTTCTGGGGCAGTGTGTGCTGACCCGCGGGAGGCAATCACTCACATGCTGTCATCTCACACACACACACACACACAAGCCTCCGGTGGTCCTCATCGACTCATTAATGCTTTGTCTTCCGATAGCTATACTCGTTTTGGAGTCGAGTTCATGGATTGTTACACACACCCATAATGCATCAGTCCTGCATTAGATGCTCGTACATAGATGGAGGATTATGCTTGCCGTCAGGCCGGGAGCTTCTTTCCCCTGTGCCCTCTGCCTACCAGGACTCTGCTGGATGCGCATGTGTTCTTATGAGCTTGGGTGTGTGT